TGGCAACAACTACGAAGTGGGTAACATGATAGCTGAAGCCATGAGCAAGGTAGGACGAAAGGGTGTGGTGACTCTTGAGGAGGGAAGAAGTGCCGAAAACTTCCTCTATGTTGTCGAAGGAATGCAGTTTGACAGGGGCTATATCTCTCCTTATTTTGTCACTGATAGCGAGAAAATGTCCGTAGAATACGAGAACTGCAAGGTATATGCAACATTCCATTTTACCATTTTTAGACAAATTTAGCAATACATGTTCTTGTCTTCTAACCTTACGTACTTTGTGAATCATACAGCTGCTTCTTGTTGACAAAAAGATAACCAATGCAAGGGATCTCATTAACATACTGGAGGAGGCTATTAGAGGTGGCTATCCTGTTTTGATCATGGCAGAGGATATTGAACAAGAAGCTCTGGCAACTCTTGTTGTAAATAAACTGAGAGGATCTTTGAAGATTGCTGCACTTAAAGCTCCTGGATTTGGAGATCGCAAGAGCCAGTACCTTGATGACATTGCTATTCTTACAGGAGGTCTCCCCTCTTCTTCTTTCATTTATAATAATGATGCAGAAATTTTCCATTGGGTGGTTGTTGAAAGTAACTTTTTATGGTCATACAGCTACGGTTATCAGAGAGGAGGTAGGACTTACCTTGGACAAAGCTGGAAAGGAGGTACTTGGGCAAGCATCTAAGGTTGTGCTTACCAAAGATACCACAACAATTGTTGGTGATGGCAGCACCCAAGACGCAGTCTCTAAGCGTGTTGCACAGATCAAAAATCTGATTGAGGTAGTGGATAGTGATCTAGATATATTTCTACTTGCCTGAAGTTTTTGTTAAACTCGAAACTGATTAGCTGTATTTATGTAGGCTGCAGACCAGGACTATGAGAAAGAGAAACTTAATGAGCGAATTGCTAAACTTTCAGGTGGTGTTGCAGTTATACAGGTAAAGTATTTTTCAGCGTATCAGCTTGTTTTACTAAATATACCTTGTACGTGTTTGTGACATTTTGGCAACTCCTGAAGGTTGGAGCACAAACTGAGACAGAACTCAAGGAAAAGAAACTGAGAGTTGAAGATGCTCTCAATGCCACAAAGGTACTGTTTAATATGCTGTGTCCATACCTTGCTTTTTTTTTTTTTTGCCTTTTTCGCTTAAGCCCTTGAAGGCTGTTGCACTTCAGCATGTTTTACGCTTTAAAAACACTGAATCTGGTTAATTTTGATGATTTAAAATGATTTGCAGGCAGCTGTTGAGGAAGGGATTGTTGTTGGTGGTGGTTGCACCCTCCTTAGACTTGCATCAAAGGTGGACGCAATCAAGGAATCCTTTGACAATGATGAAGAGAAGGTAATCCATCTAGGGAATTTGGTGTCATCTTCGTAAATTATTTGCTAAAAATGCTGAATAATGCAAGGGGATGTCTTAACTCCTTGTCCTAATCTTGTACCTTTCCACGTTCAATAACAATAATAAATACGAAACAGTGCGAGTGGTTGATCTGAAACCTGTAGCTGAGACCAGTGAGAACTTGCTCATATTAAGACAGTATATCATGGCTTGTACTTAATGTTTATTCTTGTCTGCACTTAAGATATCTTGTTTGGGAATAGAATCTCTGTAAAGTTAACTTTTGCATGGTTCATTATTGGCAGTGTTAGACATCTTCTTTGTACTGTCCTGGTCCCTTTAATTTGCACCTCGTCGTTTTCGTTTTTTACGCAGCTCCTTGATGTCTACAGTTGGTCTTTTTCTAAAATTCTATTGGTCTGATGGCAGGTCGGAGCAGATATCGTCAAGAGAGCATTAAGTTATCCCCTCAAGTTGATTGCCAAGAACGCCGGTGTCAATGGTAGCGTTGTCAGCGAGAAGGTACATACAGTACAATTGCAATATTACCATTCACTCTGAAACATGAATTCTCATCATGATTGCCTAAAAGTGCAAGACTTGTTTGATCAGGTGCTATCCAGTGACAACTATAGATATGGATACAATGCTGCAACTGGGAACTACGAAGACTTGATGGCTGCTGGAATCATCGATCCAACCAAGGTGAGTTCCGAAGCTTTATTTCGTCTATTCAAATCAACTAGTAGTAATTTAGAACGCTGCACAGAATCAATAGTAGGATAAAGATATGTATGAACCTATCTATTTCAACGCGAGCAGTCGAGAATGACGAATGCGAAATAGAAATAGTTGTAAATGTCTGCTGTTTATGATTTTTCAGGTGGTTAGGTGCTGCTTAGAGCACGCAGCATCAGTGGCAAAGACATTCTTGATGTCAGATTGTGTGGTGGTGGAGATCAAGGAGCCAGAGCCAGTTCCTGCAGGAAATCCCATGGACAATTCAGGATATGGGTATTGAGAGCAGCAGTCGAGGGAAGACTCAGCAGCACAGAGAGGAGAGAGAGAGAGAGAGAAGAATAATGAAGAGAAAGCCATTCCATGGAGAGAGATCCAAAGAGAGATGGGTGAGAGGTGATAAAAGAGGCCATTTTTCTTTCTTTTTTATTTTTTGTAGATTCAGCCACTTGTACTAGAGAGACCTTAGAGGAACAAAAAATCAAGCATTCTCAGGTTGACAGGATCTTCTTACTTAGTGGATTTTTAAATGATTCAGAGCATCTTCTTCTTCACTTAGTCTCTAATATTGATTGATATCTATTTCGTTTTTAGTCTCTTTTTTCGTTTTAATAATTGAGAATTGGAGTTTTCCTCTCCTATACTTAGAGTAGAGGCACTCCGACTTGTTCCAAGGTTCATATCTGCGAGACATATCAAGCTCATCAGAAAATTGAAAATTGCTATTTCTTTTTTATTTTGTAAAAAATGCAAAAATCAAAACAAGTAAAAACTATTTTTTTCCCACCAAATTTTGAGAATGTTTATTAAAATTATACAACAAAATGGTTGTAAAATCAGGCTTTGATTATTGGGTATGATTTATCAGCAATTCACCAATAATCATTAAATAACGTGCATTTAATGTTGTACTTAAAATAAGAGAATTTAACGTTGGATAGTGTTTTAAAGTCTATCGTCTATATAAGAGGTTATGGTTTGAATTAATGGGTTTAAATTGTAGGTTTCATTAAATTTTTTCCCTTATATATATATATATATATATATATATATATATGCATTTCTTGATATAGTATAGTTTATGCATTATTTTTTTGTGATTTATCTTTTATCTTGGAACATTAACAAAACTTTTTTTAAACTGGTGGTCACTAATCTCGGTAGCAAGTGATAACAACAAATTGCTCCCTTACTTACGACCATACTCTTGCCTCTAAACATACCCTCTACCAACCTCAATATGTCGGGATATTCGAACACCTACTTAACACCCACTTCACTTTCACAATGAATACAACTAGGAAGCTACTTGCCTAAAATAAGGACACAATTAGGGGATATGAAATTCATGTACATCATAAGTACATAATATCTTATGTAAATTGATATAAATTAAACAATATAAAAAGTTAAATTCTCATCCATTCAAGTATATTATCAACTAGCAACTTAAGCATATCTCTCCACCTATTTATCATCAATTAATTTTAACATTTATGAAAATTTAAGTTAAAAAAATATTAGAATATAAGAGAATAAATTGAAAAAGAAACTATAAAATATTTGAGACTAAAAAAATATATTTAGTAAATATTTTAAATGTCGACGTCGATAGAAATATCAATGTCTTAATTTCATGCAAATGTTGATAGAAATATAATAAAATGTTGATATCTATAGATATTTCTAGAAAAGTTCTAAAAATACAAAATTTGTACAAAAATATTTAAATTAACAAATAAGAAGTTCAGAGATTTTGTTGATTTTTTTTCTTCATATTTTGACATTTTTTGTTATATATTATAGAAATGTTGATTTGCTTTATAAAATATCGATGAGAATGTCGAAATGTCAACGAAATCTACGGAGATGTGAATGTGATTAAAAAAAAAGAAAAAAATGTATTTATATATGAGAAATAAATATAATAAAAATAATAAAGAAAGAATGAGGGAGGGAATGGAATGGCTGCCAAAGTCAGAAGAAAAGGTACGATGCCAAACACATATCAGTTTCGATAGCTGCGAAAAGCGCGTCTTTTTTGTTCCTTTTTTTCTATTTATATTCCTATTTTCTTCAACCGTCTCCCTTATTTCTCTCCCTCTCTATTTTTATTTTTATTTCACTTTTTCTTTTTTAAAATTCCAATAGGTTCAATTATTTTACTAAACATGAAAAAAAAATAATAATAAAAGTCCCATTTTACTCGAATCATGTAATTTTGATCATCCTTAATTTATTCTAAAGGTGAGATAAATATTTTTGGGAGATAGATACCACTACCATTGAATTATGTTGGAATTTTTTTGATTGTAATTTTGTTTTAAAGATTTGATTGTGATCACTAAATCTTTAAAATTAATTAAAAATAATGATCAAATACAGTCCTATTCCAATGTTTGTGATCAAAGGGAAACCCTGCAGAGTTGAAACCATATGATTAAAAAATATAATGTAGAAAGAAAAAAGTTCAAATTTTTAATGTTTTTAGAAGATGGGGATTTTGGCAATCATTTGATTATGGGATTGAGTGGCAGAATCTCCAAGCTCAAAAGATTAAAATAATACTTTACATGATTCCAAGAAGCATTTGGAAGTTGGTGATTCCAATGCCCAAAAAACAAATAAAACCCAAAGGAAAAGAAAAAGGGGGAAGAAAAAGTAAGCACACACAGAGGGAGTGAGAAAAAGAGGAAGATTGAATGAAAAACGTAACACCCCAAAACCATGCATGTTACTAAATAGCTAAATTATGCTCTCTCTCCCTTTGTGGTGCTTTTTGGATTCAAATTCATTATATATAATTCTTTTTTTAAGATTTCAAATAATTTTTGTTTTGTTTTGTTTTGATTTGTATTTAGATGATTATTCAGTTGTTGATATTTTGCTAATCTTTCCTGTAATCTCTCCATTCTTCAATCTCTCTCTCTCTCTCTTTCTATTTCTTATTCTTCTTCTTCTTCACGCCGCCTCTCTTTCTCACCTTACCTACAGCGTTTTGCCACTCTTCTCTGCATTATTTCCCTGTTGTATCATAATCCCAAATTCCCACATTTTCTCCTTCCCACTTCTCCCACTGAAACCACTGATTGTTTGCCTCTGTATTGCCGTTTTCACTCTGATTCGTCTTTTTTCTGACGTGGGTCTCGCTTGCCTCTTCATATTCTCAACTGGGTTAGTTTCGATTGTTTCGCATTCGTTTTCATTTCGATCATCGGCTGTTTCTCGTTGAAAATCTGTGTGATTCTTGACCATGTTTTCGGTTCCATTTGATCGAGAGTTTCTGGCTTTTAATTTGTTCGATATGGGTCACGGTTGTTTTTTGGGAGTTTATTGTATTGTGTAGTGACACTTTCTTGGATTTTGCCCTCCATTGATGATTTATTCTCGAGCTCGAAATCTGGTAATGAGGTTAAGGAGCTCTGATATTTTTGTGTATTATTATTATTTTGTTTACTGAGGTGCTGTTGATCAGGGTTATTTTCTATTTCTTTTTCATGGCTTTAATGTGTTTTTTTTTGTCCTCTCGAGTGAAGAGGTGATTCTTGATTGGTTTGTGATTGTTGATTAAGGGGTATTGCCAGAGAGTACTGGTTGGTTTATTTTTGTACAATGTGAGGTTGCCTTTTGAGTTTAAATATGTTGTGATTAGAGATATTGAAAAGACTTTGTTCTTTTGTGGTTGTCATGTTGGTCTAAACATAGGAATCTTTTGTATCATTGGATTATTTTGTCTTCTGTGAGTGAACTGAAAGGATTATTTGTTATTCGTCTCTTTCTTCTTCTTCTAAGGCTTGTTATTGTTCTATAATAGGGTCATTTAAGGAGTTATCCCATTTACCAAATGGAAGAGATGGGCAGTAAACTGGAGATTGAACTTGAGAGGCTTATTGGTGAGAATCCAAAAGTTGCATCTGAAAATGGACATGCTGAAGAATCTGTTCATAAAAGAATGTCGTTATTAGCTGCAAATTCCTGTAATGGGATGTCGAAACTGTGCAGTAATGGACATTTGGAGGATGTCAAGGTCTTGAGGAACAAACTTCAGCAATCAAGCGGGCAATCAAATATGGGTCGAATTCGGACTGGGGAAAGTAATGGGACCGGAGACCGGTCCTTGGCATCTGCATTGGAAAAATTAAGTTTGGGTGCTGAGGAAACGATGCAAAATCGGAGAGTAATGCAGAATCAGCCCAATTTGACAGAGGACCAACTGCGGATCTATTTGAATAAGCAATTACTCAACACCGAAACATCTATGGCTGCCGTTCCCTCTTTGAGGTCTTCGAATCATTTGACCAATGGTTATCCCGATGTTCATATGACAGGTCTTGGCTCTCAGAACTCTCCTTCATTAAGACATTTTTCTGATGGCTACAATAGGTCGGAAGTTGGTCACCTTCAGCCACTTGAGACTCCCTCCTCTGCTAGGTTCACTTATGAAGTGCCTCATCTCGACATGCCTTCTCGAAATTTGCAGTTTCCTATAACATCTCATGATGAGGAAATATTGCAGAGTAGGCGATCTTCGGTTCTTTACGCACACCCACAACAAATGAATCATGGTCAAATAGGTTCAAATTGTACACAAGAAGAATTGCTTCAAAGATACAGGATGCAAGGGCAGTACCAATACCTGCAGCAGCAATTGGAATATTCAAATTCGTTTCGATCTTGTGACGATACTACAAGTAGAATGCTTTTTCAGAGTCACGAGCCTCAATATTTTGAGGTTCCAGTCTCTCACCACCTTGAGCAGTCTAATAATGAAGTATTCTGGAAGGGGAATGCATATTGTAGGGGTTCAAACCAGTCAAATCCTGTATTTTCAACACAATATGTAGATACATTTCAAGGTGTGGAAAAAATTTCCAGGCAAAGTTCGCCTAGAAAGATCCCGACGAGGACCCATGGACATAACAGAGTTGATTATCTAAAGCTTCCGGCTGTCGATGGCGATTTTTATGACAACCAAAATGGAGCTGTTTGTTCAAGTTGTTATCTTCAGGGGAATGGTTTGTTGCGCACTACAGATTGCTTCTGTCACAAAAACTTAAGTTTATATGGTTACTTCTCTAATCATGGAAATCGTAAGACAACACTACCCCAAAAATTTAACTCTCTTGAGGAAGCCACGGGTAAAATATATCTCATGGCTAAAGATCAATATGGTTGTCGCTTCTTACAACGGAAATTCGTAGAGGGTGCCAAAAAAGATATTGAGAAGATTTTCATTGAGATCTTAGAGCATGTTGTTGAGCTCATGACAGATCCTTTTGGAAACTATCTAATACAGAAGCTCCTTGAAGTTTGTAATGAGGACCAGCGGCTGAAAATTATTTATAAGGTTACTAGCAAACAAGGCGAACTTATCCGAATTTCGTGTAATATTCATGGGTATGCTCTATCTCCTTTTGTCACTCTCTTTACCTCCCAGTTTAGAATTTATTTATTTAGTTTGTATGTTTTTTGTGCATTTACTTCTCTTTATTGTGGTTCAATTATCTTCTAAAACATTCATGTTCCCTAACTACAGGACTCGTGCTATTCAGAAACTGATTGAGACTCTCAAAACCCCAGAGCAGTTTAAAATGATTATCTCCTCTTTGAAGACTGGTATAGTGATTCTGATGAAAGACCTGAATGGTAACCATGTAGCACAGCATTGCCTGCAGTATTTGGTGCCTGATTACATTGAGGTAAGGGGTATCCTATTTCCGCGATCTGTTCTTTAAAATTATTTGAAGTTGCTTACATTCCTATATGCTGTTAAGATCCCACTATCTAACAGAATATAGGAAACTGTATGCTGATTGGAGATATATAACAACACCACTATACAAACAGAGAGAAGGAGATGCCGTTTG